CCCCGCAGGCAGGACATGGGGCTGGAGCTGGGCCCCCGGCTGTCGGGGGCACGCCTTCGGCACAACCCCACCTGCCAGGGCCCCGGGGAGGCCAGGCAGTCCCGAATGCAGCCAGAGGCATGAGGAGGACCAGGGCCCCCACCTGCGCCCACTGTCCACAGGCTCAGGCCCCATGGGGCGCCCCCTGGGAGCCTGTCAAACACGCAGGCCCTGGCCCAACTCTGACCTCGGCACCAGCCCCCCCTGCTGCAGGGGGACCCCCCCAAGTCCCCGCGCGCCACCCGCAAGTTCTCCTCGCCGCCCCCGCTGTCGCTCACCACCAAGACGGCCTCGCCCAGCCGCCGGCGCAAGCTGTCCCTCAACATCCCCATCATCACGGGCGGCAAGGCCCTGGACCTGGCCGCGCTGGGCTGCGGCTCCAACGGCTACTCCCCCGTCTACTCGGCCGTGGCGCCCCTCGGCAAGGCCGCGCTGGACACCGGCAAGCTCTGCATGTCCGGCGGCTTTGCCAGCAAGATCGCCGACGAGGCTGAGGCGGCCGCCGAGAAGCCGGACGAGCCCTCGGCCCCCGGCAAGCAGAGGGCGTGGCACGTGGGGCCCAGCTCCGCTCCTGGTGGGGGGGACCCTCCGAGTCCCTGGGGTGTCGTCTCCACAGGGGACGCATCCGGGGCCAGGCCACAGTCACCACTAGACTAGTCCCGCCCCCCAGACTGTGTGTGTGTGTGTGCTTGTATGTACATGTGCCCACATGCACGCATACTTGTGTGTGTACTCATGATGTGTTTTTGTATGTGCATGTGTGCGCACGTGTGCATATACAGTGGTGTGTGTATGTTGGTGTATTTTGTGTGTGCATGCACGTCCATGTTTGCATGTGTGTGCTTTGTGTGTGCATGTGTGTATACAGTTGTGTGCGTGCATGTGTTTGTGTATATGTTGGTGTGCTTTGTGTGCACGTGTGTTCGTGTCTGTGTGCTTGTGTTTGCATGTGTGTATGTGTGTGCATGGGTGTGTGCTTTACATGTGCACACATGTATATGATGGTGTGTGTGTTTGTATGTTGGTGTGCTTTGCATGCATATACATGTTTGTGTGCTTGTGTTTGTATGTGTGTGTGCATGGGTGTGTGCTTTACATGTGCACACATGTATATGATGGTGTGCGTGTTTGTATGTTGGTGTGCTTTGTGTTCGTGTGTGTTCGTGTTTGCATTCGTTCGTGTGTGTTATGTGTACATATCTGCATGTGTGTGCACACACATGTTGGACTCCGTATTCTGAAGAGAAGGCCCGGCGTCCCGTGAGCTCTCTAACGCGTCCAGGTGCAACCCCACTCGCTCTGTAGTTGGGGAAACTGAGGGCCGGAGAGGCCCTTTGTGAGCAGGCTCTCCCCCACCCCCCGCGGGAGCCGATCTCTCCGTGTACCCCGCCAGCTTCCCCCACAGTGCGTGACCACGAGTCTCCCCGGACCGGGGAGCCTGTGAGTTCCTGGCCAGGCCCCGGGGCGCGGGCAGGTGGAAGCCCGGCCTCAGATGCTTCGCACACACCCTCGCTGCTCCCAGTGCAGC